CCCCCCCCCTTGTGAGGGGGGGGGGGCCAGCCATTTTCATTTTCCTCCTAATTTTTAACGAGTAAAGCCATTTGTACCTGACGTTTACGTGGTCCCACAGCCCCCCTCACAATGAGGGGGGCCCGAGGTGTATTAAAAAAATGGCTGGCCCCCCCCCTTGTGAGGGGGGGGGGCGTGGAGTTATGCCCGTGTACCCATAGCACGGTTCATTTTTAACAACCTTTCCCAATTTCCTATCATTGCATTGAACCATTGAAGTAAAAAAAAGAAAAAAATTCCCTGCAAAATTTTCTGACTACACTTCTTATTTTACTGAGTAAAACCAAGAATCGTGTACAAAAACAGAAACCATTTTGAAATCAGAGTCGAAAAGTGGAGATTTTTTTATTCAAAAGTGGGAATCTTGGACTCTTACAATGGCGAGGAATCAAAAAAAATGGAGGGCTTATAGGCCATTGTATATAGTTGTATTTAACTTTTTGTTGGCTTCAATGATTGTTTCTGCTGAAAGGAGCTTGAAGCTAGAAGCTTTATCAAATAATGCAACTGGGATTTCAAATTCTGATTCTGAACCAGATGAGTCTACAAATTTGGTGAATTTCATATGGCAAGCCAATAAATCTGGTTACGAGCATGTTTGGCCGGTGAGTCAAATTATTGATTCGGTTCTTTTTTATCTGCAATTTTTGAATTTTTTTTTTTTTTGTTTTGCCCTTTTCGATCTTTGCATGATATATTTTTTAAAATTTAAGGATTTTTATTGTCCATCTTTTGTGGTTCGTGGTTTGATATGGAAGCTATTTATGGCGATCTCAACAGATTAGATTCTTTTATTTTTATTAGAATTTTTGTGCTCTACTACATTTATTTTTCAACAGTATATTCTGCATATCTATCGAGGATATTCATGTGGCTATGCATGATGCATGTATTCGACAAAAGAACACATCTAGTAAAAGGCATTGTGGATGATGCGGAACAGTTGTTGAAAAAATGGAGAAATAAGAAGGGCTACGAAAAAGCGTGTGACTTTTAGCTCGAGTGTCAGATTTATGTGAGCGAGTACCCTTTGGAAGCATTTTTTAGTTCCCTATAGTTTTCTATCCAACATTGTCAAAATTTCGAGGTCAAATTCCATCGTTTAGAGGTCTGTTTTAGCGTTTTCTGTTTTGAGTTAACTCAGGGGTATTTTATTAATTTTTGTAGTTTCTTATATTTTTTTGTTGTGGGATTTGTCTACCAAATTTGGGGTTTGCTTTGATGCTTTAAATATGTATTAAGGGTTCGAAAACTACAGCCGTTTTTTATTTATAATATTTCCGTTTTCTATTTTCTGGTGTATTTCAGTATTTTTCGCATATGTTCAGGTGAAATTCGAGCAACACTCATTCGCGTGTTACGATCAAGACCCTTTTATTATTATTCAAGTTTTCGTCCTGCATCAGTTGAATTTATCATACATCTATCTATACGTATATCTATATGTACATGAGTTCATAAAGTTGACCTCTTTAATATCATCGGAGAAAAATTGAGTTGAGGAGATCTACATCCATTTGTGTTGTCTGAGTTCAATAGTTCCTCGTATAAAATTGTTGACTCTATATTTTCGATAGACGAGGATGAATTTGTGTTACTAGTATGTGAAAAGTTTGTAATGACTTGCCATTTCCATGTTTGATTTTATTTTATATGTTATGCATATACTATTGTGTTAGAAGACTTGTGAAGCGTCTTAATCTGGTATGCTATCTACAGGATCTGAAGTTCAGTTGGAAAATTGTCGTTGGTAGCATAATTGGATTCTTTGGAGCGGCCTTTGGGAGTGTAGGTGGTGTTGGCGGTGGTGGTATATTCGTTCCTATGCTTAGTCTGATTATTGGATTTGACCCAAAATCATCGACTGCTATCTCAAAATGTGAGAGACAGGCATATTAATGTGATTGAGAGTTTTCTTGTTTTTTTCATCGCACTCTACAAAGTTCTTTATTAATTTTGTGGATTTGTAATATCGTCTTAGAAAAAAACTCTTATTACTATTTTATCAACAACACTGCAGTTTCCAATTTGCTAGTATTGTTGGGTAATTAAAATCATACACTCTCCTTCACATTACACCTAAAACTTGTGCTTTAAATCTTCAATAAGAGAGTTAAAATTTGTTTGTGATCATAGACGTTGAATGAGTCAAGGCAACAAGATTGTGTTTAAATTCTTACGTTATGAAAAAAAGGTCTACAGTAAAAATGAGAAGTTCAATTTTTCAGTTGTACAAACGGTCTTATCGTTCTTAAAGGAGGCATAAATGTTGTTTCTACCTTGACAGGTATGATCATGGGAGCATCGGTTTCAACCGTTTGCTTCAATCTTAAGCTCAGGCATCCCACACTTGACATGCCCATAATTGACTATGATTTGGCTGTTCTAATGCAACCAATGCTTATGCTCGGCATTAGTATTGGAGTGGCTTTCAATGTGATATTTGCTGATTGGATGGTTACTGTTCTTCTAATCATTCTCTTCATAGGTAATAAGAGGTTAATAGCGATCTTTAGCTGTGCAACGTGCCAAAGTGTGAGAATTTTTACTTTATATGACTGTTTCAGGTACATCGACCAAGGCCTTTTTCAGAGGTGTTGAAACATGGAAGAAAGAAACCATCATGAAAAAGGTAATCATAAACTTCAAGAGTTTTACACAATTTGGTAGTAAATGGATCATCAGAGCTCAACATTACTTGCGAGGAAATTTCTTTATTGCTTTTAAAAGTTCTGCTACAATTTCATTATGATGTCCTATGTTAGTTCAATTATGTTGAGGCAAAAGCGAAGTGCAAAACATTTTATATACAATTCATCTATTCTCTTTCATGATGAATATCAATTGCTTTCTCGCTGTAGGAGGCTGCAAGGCGATTGGACAGAAATGGTGGGTTGATTGTGTCCTTTCTTCATTTTGTGAACATGTTCAAGGATTGCCTTTTCTTTTCTCTTCAACTATTCTTCTCCCTCTGAAATTAAGCACGTGCCTTGTGTTGTAACAGGCGATGGTGAAGATGAAGCAGGATATGAGCTTCTTCCTGGTGGCCCCTACAATGGCATGGGAACAGAAGCTAAAGACTTTGTCGAACAAGAGGTGAGATATATCACAGGGGCTAGGGTCCATTATCAAAATCCTCAATTCTGATTCATCTCATAATCTCAGGTGAGCTTTCATGAACATGTTTATTGGAAGGAATTTGGGCTTCTCGTTTTCGTGTGGGTTGCATTTCTTGCTCTGCAGATCATCAAGGTTTTTTTTTTTTTTTCTTTTTTCCCGTTCTGTTACTGCACTCCTTGAAATGTTATCTTTTTTAAGAAGAAGCCTCTTTTGGAGTTTATTTGAACTTAATAGAACTTAAACTCACTGGCCTCAAATTGGAACAGAATTGTACAGCCGCATGTTCAGCAGGATACTGGGTTGTGAACTTGCTCCAGGTATGTGAGTGCATAAGGTTTAACTTACTTTCTAGAAAAATAACTTTTTAACTTCTCACCGTGCTGCAGATACCAGTCACTCTTGGCATATCTGGTTATGAAGCGATTAGCCTGTACAACGGATCAAGAAAAATTGAGTCCAAGGGAGATGCTGGCACCAACTTTACAGTGCACCAACTAATCTGCTATTGCTTCTTCGGAGTATTGGCTGGTATGGTCGGGGGCCTTCTCGGTCTAGGCGGTGGATTTATCATGGGCCCGCTATTTTTGGAGTTTGGCGTACCTCCTCAGGTGAGTTCAATTGAAGGCAAATTGAATAAATAATTTTCCCCCTCTCAGACCAGTTTTCAATGAAAAGGTCAATGCACGAAAAACTCCGAAATTTTTTCTTCAGGTTTCAAGTGCAACGGCCACCTTTGTGATGATGTTTTCCTCATCAATGTCAGTGGTAGAGTATTACCTTCTAAAACGATTTCCAGTTCCTTATGGTAAGTGCATATCCAACTTCAATAGCAGTAATTCTAACATCGAGTAATTCTTTTAATTTGTAATTATATATAAAAAATGTTTATCGGGAATACAACTTAAATTGCTGTTGTTTTGGCATCTGCATAACAGCTTTTTACTTTGTTGTGGTTGCGACTGTCGCTGCGTTTACTGGACAACACTTTGTAAGCAAGTTCATCATTATGATGGGAAGGGCGTCGATTATAATCTTCATCCTAGCATCTACAATATTTGTTAGTGCCATCTCTCTAGGTAAGTACCTTCATTGAACATTTGAAGATTTAATGCATATTGTCTAGACTGTCTAGTGCTATTCGATCATTTCTAATAAACATGCCACTAATAATTATTGTTTCGCTCTTTAAGTTTGAAGCTGTGAAAATTTCTTGACATTGCAATGATTTTCTCAATGCATTAATGAGATGTTTATGTTTATTTGTCTTTTTGCATTAAACAGGTGGAGTTGGTATTTCAAACATGATTGGAAAGATGGAGCGGAATGAGTACATGGGTTTCGAGAACCTATGCAAGTATGATGTCTAGGACATTGCTCTTCGACGATCAAAGGTGATAACCGATATGTCGAGTCATTCTCCTCAGGCTGCATGAACCATTCTCAAGATTCATCCAGTTCTCAACTCGTGTATGTAAGCTAGAAAAGAGTCAAAGACCTTTGAGTCCGTTCCTTTCTGAAAAATTTTCCAAGTATGCACTGAGCTAATACCACTTGTTGGAAATTATAGTTGTTTAGACCCAAATGCAGAATTAGAACAATTAAAAGTAATAAGTCACTTATTAATTAGTTTTTAGATTATTAAGGTAATTAATCCAATTTAATTAATCATGTGTATCAATCAAATAAAATAAATAAAGATCAAAAGCAATAAAGAACACCAAATATGATCACTAAGGAAAACTCCTAACCGGATAAAAACTTTCAGGCAAACTTGTTAGTAAAATTCACTAGAAATGTTAACTCACAATTAGTCTGGAGTGTGTTAAACATTAACTAGCTCTGGCCACCTAACTTGTAAATTCTCAAGGAACTCATTCAATTGTGCACGTTCGCACTTTTCAGAACTCATAACTACTTTTCTCTCCGCATGGATCTACGAGAACTAACCTTGTTCTCGATCTAGCCTCGTTCTCGATCGCTAGATCTTCAAGCACGTCTTTTCAAAACTCCGTAACTTTGAAGGCTAATTGGCGATGGTAATGTTTTGTTTTGGTATTTGATCTTCCTGTTTTTTGATGTGTAGGCTAATCTAAGATTTGAATATGTATTTAACTTTCAAAGTATATACTCTTAACTTACAATAAGGCTCTACTAATGAATGATTAATATATGAGATCAAATATATGAACAAAGATTTTGGGGTTGAATCAACGGAATGTGTTTATGATCTTTTATAAGGCAAAATAATGATTCAACACAACTTAGGACGTTGATGGAGATGCATATTTATAATGGAGGTGTTTGCGATGGGAAAAAAGAACTCAAAATCAGCTTTAATATCAAATTTTACTATTCCTTGGATTGAGCCGTCGCTCGAGTGCCTATTGAGAGGCCAGCGACCGATCCTTGAACAATCGTTAGTATTTTCGTCATAACGTTCTCTCTTGATATCTGATTAAGGTGATTTAAAGTGCATTAAAAAGTTAACTTAAATGGATACAGTTCTTCTTGAAGTAGAATTTTTCAAATTTAAATATTTTCTATGTGAAAAATGCTTTGCAACTTATGATTGAGAATTTGGAGCAAAACTTGTTCCAACACTTCTTTGACTCCTCTAAGGATTGTACTACTGACCTTTAACTATTTTGACGGTAATAACAATTTCATTACTCCTATTTGACTTTAAAACATGATTTTGACTAAAAAAATTGTGAATTACAAATTTAGAAAACGGCTAATTATATAATTTGGACCTAACACTTTGTAAAGAAAATTGATTGAAAAATTCATAAGCATCATCTTTTTTCCTCAATTTTTGTCCTTAATTTGGAAAATGGTTTCATCTGAGTGTTTTATTTTATTGTCTTTCAAGTGCAACGATCATGTAACTAGAGTTTTGATACTTAGTGTATGTTCAGCAAAAAATACAATTCTTTATAATTTGAAGTTGAAGTCAAACATTAATTTTAATTATACATTCACAACTACTATTCACTTATTATTCATACATCTCGTGAAACTTAATAATTTCTCTTATTATAATATCATTATAATATCTCTCAAGACAAGAACAACATTATGACAACTTGTAAAATAAGCTAAGAAGAACGACTTGTCATAAAAAATTAGGAACAACAATGTTGTTAGTACCACCATACAAACTGTGTGGATAGTATTGTAATCTATATACAAACTTATTTTAAATTTCTATTTGTGCAATCATTGTTGATTACTATAGTCATCGAAAATAAAATATTAATATCGAACTATCATAGAAAAGTGACACATTTTCAATACGCTTCTCAAGAGTGCAGATTGATTCATTTTATATCAAATGCATGAAAAGAGCACCATTTTCAAGAATAAACATCAGTGAAAGTTGAATTTAAAACTTCCACATGATGTGATATGTGTTTGGAAGGGGACCGACTACACACAGAAGGGGTGGATGAGGGGGGTGGGGTTGCATTATTTTAAAACTTGAAATTCTGTAATAATTCTGGTAATTATTTCCTGTACTCAAAGTTTTTTCTTTTCCATAGCTTACACACACTTTCTGGATGTTAAAAAAGCTCTTTTTGTTTAAAATATTGGCTTTTGACTAAAGTTATATTTTAACCAAAAAAATATAGCTTAGAGGGTTGTTTCAGAGAAACTCAAAATTTTAAGCTCAAAATACGCATTAATAAAAAAAACTTTTTAAATTCTAACACACATAAATTCTAAACAGTTAATTTAATATTCACAAAACTTTTTGGATTCGCGACCAAACAGGTTATTTACATAATTGGTCATTGAACTTAGCAAAAATGTTTTCTCATTATTTATTGAATTTTATACAATGTAATGTCATCTACCACTCACTCAATGGATGGTTGAAAAATTGACGAATTTGCTGAAGTGGTTGATAGAATTGTATACGTGGCTATCTTTTTTCCACTCGGCATCCACATCATTAGTAATTTTAAAAACTAAGTGATGGATGAAATAACGAATTAAAAAGTCCAGTGATTAACCGGATAATTTTAAAAGTTCAGGGACCCGGTGGAAACTTTTGTAAAGTTCAATGATGATTCGGGTAATTAACCCCCATTTTATCAATATTTATGTTTTTTCAATTTTTTTTCTCTCTTTTTCTGAGATGGAACCAACACAAACGACATTGTTTCAATCTTTGCTTGGACTCGAGGTTGACAACAATGCCATTTGTGCTGGTTTGTGATATTTGCTTGGATGGGAAAAAGAGGCGAAACCAGTACAAACACCAATGTTGTCAACCCCAAGTCCAAGCAGAGATTGAAGCAATTTGTTTAGGTTGGTTTTACGTCCTTTTTGGTGAACTTTGTAGTGGCGTGTGATAGTTTCATGGGCTGTTTCTGTTGGAAAAAATTAAGTTAGTGGGTGACTTTGTCACGAATTTTGAGTGGGACCCGTTTAGCTATTTTGGAAGATGAAAGTTGATTTGTGTTCTCTTCTGTGAGTACATCGAAATCATATATTTACTTGTCAAAAATGATGCTCTGGTAAATGAGAAATTGAAATTCAAAGTTCAAAGTATGTCATGTGAAAAGAGTTCATGTTGGTGGGAAAACTAAAAATTAAATGTCCCACATAAGAAGTGGATAGAAACTAAAACCACTTTATAAAGGATTGCATTTTGGAATGGTATAATCATGTGTAGTATAAAGGCTCTTTTCACGTGCGCGCCCAGGGGGTGCAAATCACGGACCGAAATAGGCATTGGACCTTGAACTTGTGTGCGGGCGTGACCTGCGTACACGAATATCGGACCGGATTAACCAAAAATTGGCCCCTTAGAAGAGCCTACGTTTTGCTACATTTTATTTTATTTTTCGACTAACTTTTCATTTTCTGAAACAGTTGAAACTCCTAAAACTCCCGTTGTAATTGTCATGACGTAAGTTGGCAAGTTACAAGATCCNTCAGTTTAAGTGTTGTCTCTGTTTTTGTTTCTGTTTCTTTCTGGTGGTAATATTGTTCGGGCTCTAACTCATTTCGCTAGAATAAAATCTGTTGTGCTCAGATTACCGTTCCACCGTTGTATTCTGGAAAGCAGACGCTCAAATTACACCTCAAGCACATACGATGAGGGGGCGAATATATTTTAAGAAACTGTGTGTAACACAAGTCTCGGGGTTAAAAGTTCTTTTTTGTTCATTCTTGTTATTCATTTTGCATAATAGTATTTTGCAGTTCTCGTTTAATTATTTGCTGAAATATATAAATCGTTTATGAATTTGTTATATTTTTAAATCTGTTACAGTCAAATTTGTATGTAAAATGATATGAGGAAATTTAGTGTTTAAGCTTACTGCAAATACGATATTTATTCTGCATATCCGGTACTCAATCCAATATTCTATTTCTTGAATTTTTTGAAACAATTATCCAACGGCTTCATCTTCGATCGTCTTTTTATGAGGGCACACCCAAATAAAAATTAGAAATTTATTAGATTCTTAGCTGAAGATGTATTTGAATTTCAAAATTTAATACTATTAAGTGATCAATGAAGTTGACGATGTTAAATAGAATAAAATTGTGGGGTAAGAGTAAAGGGGAAAAAAATAAAGAAAGAAAAAGACTAAAAAACATGAAGATTGATAAAAATAGGGGTTAATTATCTTAATCATCACTGAACATTGTGTAAAGTTTCCTTCGGGGTCAATGAACTTTTAAAAAATCATTGAACTTTGTAATTCGTTATCAAATCCATCACTCAGTTTTTAAATTGCTAAAGACGTGGACGCAAAATGAAAAATAAATTACGACGAACGCAATTCCATCAATCACATCAGCAAATTCGTCGATCTTTTAACTGTTCATTGAGTGAATGATAGATGAAATTATATTTTACAAAGTTCTATGATTAATGGTGAAACTTTTGAAATTTAGTGATCCTTGAAAATTTTTCACAAAGATCAATGACCAATCAGATAATAAACCCAAAGTCTACCGTCAAAATCTCTACTCACCGTGGCCTAAACTACATCATCTAGAAGTTTAAAGTTATTGAGCGTAGAAATGGGTTAGTTTCACTAATGGTCACTGCAGTATGTGTGAAATTCAGAATAGTCATTAAAGTATTTTTTTTCATACCCATATAGTCCCTAAAGTTAATAATGGTTCATTAATGGTCACTTGGTTGGTAAAAGTAAGGCAAATTGCAGCAGAAGTTCCTAACCTTTGCCAGAAAATATTCTTAACATCTAAATCTTGGCACCATCATCATCAATTTTTCATTATTGCAGTAAAAGAGGTCTGAGACGGAATCCATCTAATCAGACGTTAAAATTGGGTTTGGAGAATAAAATGATTTTTCTTCTAATTCCTTTTTTGTTTGGTT